TCGGTCGGCAAAGAAACCTACATCAATTTGTAGGTGCCTGCCAGAAAGTGCTCGATTCAAACGATGACACTTATGGAAATCTGTCGTTTATTGCTTTTTAGGCCACAATAACTTACAGTGTATAGAGAGAGGGTCACAGCAACCATTATAACTCTTTATCAAATACTGAAGAAAGTTTTTTTTTTTAAATACCAATTCCGAATGTAGTTTTTTATCTATTTGTTTTTTGAATCAGCTATTGACTAAGCCTTTGTAATGTAAATTTAGCGTTTCAGTCTGAAAAAGGGCCAAGCAATTTAAAAAATATTGGATATTACTTAGTGTTTCTTATCCAGAGAAGTAGTTTGGCTTTCAGGTTTGCCTGTTGGCTAACATTCAAGTTCATTGCGAACAGACGACGTCAAGATTAGCACTGCCCACTATATGTCTTTGTGTAAATTGCCGCTATTTGGCAACTAAGGACACACACGGGGTACTCAAATTATACCCTGATAGCTGTAACAACCGAGATGAAAATCACGCGTAACAACTACAAATTGAAGGCGAACATTAAAAATCATGATTATGTTGAGTTTCTTGAGTAGAATTTTCTTTTACTTTATAGTTTTTTAACTGTTAGATTTACCCGGTCCAACGAGGAGGCAGAAGATCACAGGTGCAAAATTTAATTCGTTGGTTTGTGTTTCTGCTTCCTCGCGGGACTGGAATTTTAACCGACTAGACCGTAATTTCCAAGTTTACTTAAACGTCAGCATATTCTAATCACTCATGGTTCGGTGGTTTTTAAAAGCAGACAGAGCATCTTTGAACGTATGACGTACACATTGAAAAAGGCTTAAATCGCCGCATTACTCGCTAGCTATAGGGAAAGTGGCTTTATATATTTATCCAAAAGAAACTTTACTCAAATCTTTTTACGACTAGCAGACCGCTTTGTTGATGGAGAGGTTCTTCAGATCCCAGATCATAATAAACTGAGAATTGAGAAAACGTGTTTCCCTTTGAAAATAATAACGTTGCTCCCCCTCTCCCCTCCTCCTCAGGCCCACTTCAATTGAAAGGCAGTCTTCCATTGTTCTCCATTGTTCTAGAACGTACCGGGTAACACGCCTCAAAACTGTAAAACGCCCTAGGTCGAACAAAACTCCATGGCGGCCATTGCTTGGATTTAAGTGGATTTCTAACTGTGGCTTTTTTTTTTTTGCGTTAACGTGCGTAAAAAGAGTAGAGACAATGTATTAACGGCTTGCGTAAACGTGTAGCAAGTTGTCCATACATCGTCACTAATTATATTTACGCACGTTAACGCATGTAAAAACCTTATGCGACAGTGGAATTAAGTTTTATGAAAAAGACGGCAGGGTAGTTTTCCACACATCTTAACTCTGAAACGAGGTCGGTGACCCCTACTTTTTAGTACCTTTCTGATATAAGTGACTCATTATCTGACCACAGAAAAAGTTTGAAAAAATCAATCGACTAAAACAATTTGGCGCGAAAGTCCTTAAAAATATTCGTCTACATGCAAAGGAATGGGATTGAATTGAAAGGAAGCAATTCTCTAGAGTTGCGTTACAGGACCTGAGATAGGAACCAGCTGAGTAGTTCGACTAGCGTTGTTTGATACTCAGCATCGTAATTTGGAGCTTTGATAGCTAGCAGGACTTTGAATATTGCTTTCGCACAGCACCGCAGCATATCACAGCGAGGCGGGAGCAAAGCACAAGTCGTCCATATACCAAATTGTCTACCCTAAGCCCTGAAATCAAAATTATGGTCTTTGGGATGTAGGAATTTACCCAAACAGGACGCAAATGGAATATCCTCGCAAAATGGTCAATTTCTCAGATTGCCGATTTGGATTGATTTGAACACAAGCAGGCTAAATAGGGACAATTTTGAAGAATATGGAAATCCCTGTCAATATGTGGATTTGTGAAGTAGAATTGCAGCCAATCAGGCCAAAATAATTTAATTTCACATCAAGTGAAATTCTCTCTAAATCTGTGTCGCATTTAGAACTAAAGGTCTTGGGGGTGCGCGATTGGGAACCAAACAGGCCAAAACGAAGATATTTTCGCAAAATGGTCACTTTTGACGAATGTAAAAAATAGTGTCAATTCGGGCACTTTTAAATATTACGGTCTTCAGGATGAACGATTGGTATCCACACAGGCCACAAATGGGCAATCTTCCAGATTGTGCAGAATGTTGAAATCTTTATCAATTTGGATTGTATTTAAAAGAGGGGAAAATGTCGCAGAATCCATAATTTCTGAGAATGTGGAAATCCTTGTAATTTCGACTTGTATTTCTACACTGATTACGGTCATTTTTGTGGACGACTGGAACCCAAACAAGCCAAAAATCTTGCAGAATGCGGAAATCCATGTCAATTTGAGTTCTATTATTATCATACGGTCTCTAGGATGTATGATTCGAACACAAACAGGCCCAAAAATCGAAAAATTTCGCAGAATCTGAAAATCCGTAACAATTTGAGTTGTATAGCCATATTACCGTCTTCGGGATGTATGACTGAGACCCAAACAGACCACAAATAAGATAATTTTGCAGGATGTGGAAATCTTTATCAATTTGGGTTGTATTTACATGTTATCTTGGGATGTAAGACTTGTAAGACTAGAACCAAAACAAGTCATAAAAATAGGACAATCTCGCAAAATGTGGAAGGGATTGTTAATTTGTGTTGTATTCATATATTGCGGTCTTGGGATGTACCACTACAACCAAAACTCTGCATATTAATGGAAAAAAGACAGTGTTTCTTATATAAACTGCAGTGTGCTACCAATATCCAACAATCTCGTGCCAGTGTTCACATAAGGCCTCCAGCGGGAGCGGTGCCTTCATAAAACCTACGCGCGCGAAAGTCTAGAATTGTTGTTCCACAAAACTCTTTTAGCCCTTTCTAGAATATTATTTATTTTAAGGCCTTTGGAAGGGGGGGGGGGCTTTCTAAGAAACGGGAGTCTATTCAAGTTTATACATACACTTTATTCACTTTATATGTGTTGTTTTAAACATACACTGTGGACTTTTTGCGAATACATACTAATAACAAAATTTCCACTAATTTCTGGATATTTTTTACCATTCCCACAAGATTTTCGAAGATTCTCTGGTTGTTGTCCGAAAATCATACCAACAATTTCAAACATTTTTCTCCCGAAGGCCTCCATTAAGGATCCGAAGATGTTTTGACTGTACGCCAACAAATTTGGGTACAGTTAAAGGGTCAAATATGGTATTTTCATGTTGTCAACGGTATCATCACACATAAAATTATAGTAACTTCACATGTGTTCAATTACGGTTTTCCCAAGGGCTTAAAAAAACTACAAAGCACTCAGAACACTGCAGTTTATATGATAAAAACTTGATTTTTGCCATATATATGGAATAGCTATAGTTTCAGAGTCATTACATTTTGCGGCGATTATTACATTTTGTGGCGTAACAAGGTAGGATAATCCTAGCATCAGGACGATTCTAGCACCAAACCGCCTAGCGCTAGGGCCAATTAAAACCCTTTGCTTATAAACTGAAAACACAAAACATATGGCGCTAGGATGTTTGGCCTTCTAAGTTCTTTCAAGTTCTAAGATCTTCCTCCCTCCATGTTAACACAAACGAAAAGTTCTTCCGCCTTCTAGGATGATCCTAGTGATAGGATCAGCATCTTTCCATGTAAATGGGGCCTTTAATAGAAAGGGCCTAAAGGCAACCAATCCCGTGATCCCAATATTACAACCCAAGCAGCTTTACCCGCATTTTCATCCTCCATGAAAAAAAAACACGAGACGCGAGTAGTAGTATCTGGGCCCGGTTGCATAAAATTACTTAAGGTTACGGGGGATTTTTCGCAACTTCTCTCCGCGTTACAAAGCGTTATAGTTTTTCCAGTGCTCTTTATTACATTTTTTTCCGATTCATTCTCAATAGTACGGGAGAAAATCCCTCAGAGCACTGGAAATTGCTGCAGAAAATCTCACGTAATCTTAAGTATTTCTATGAAACCGGGCCCTGGCCCGGCCGTTTTTGCGCAAAAACGGAGTGATGCATCTTTATGCATTGAGCTGTTACGGGTATTCATTTTTGTGATCGGGGAAGTGGAGTATTTATACAGGTTTTGTGCATATTATTATTGGGACATTCCTAACACTAGGCTTTCATTCTTTAATAAATGGTGAATTTGTTCCCGAAAAACCGAAAACGAATGAAGAAAATGGGTGTCGAATAGAGCGCGGTCTTCTCCAAAACAGTGTTCATCTCAATAAACTGTAGGATAACTTTTATTGATTGTTAGCTATGTTGTCACTCACTATTACATCAACTTTACTCGATCAGTTGTAGGTATAACATTACACAACAAACTACGTGCGATTCACACTACAACAGAAACTTATCTCAGATTAAAAGACTAATTTTGCTTAATTTTGAAAAGAATCAGCAAGGGAGACAATGTCAATGCTTGGAACAATAAACAGGTTTTGAGAGGCAGCAGGGGCACAAGTTAAAGGAATTCCACTTAAAACTTTTACATCAAGTTGTAGCGACCAAAAAAGAACTTTGTAGGTTTGGTATAAAAGATGGAAGCGAATGCTTATACTGTGGAGAACAAGAGTCAAATGAACAAACCTTTTCGGACTGCCACTTTACGAAAAGTTTTGACAAATGCAGTGTAATGAATATTTATTTTGCGATCTTTTCCCAATACGCCAATCAAAAATTATTGAGAAAACTGAACTACACCGTGGTATTTTCGCGTTATTATATTTATACCAATAGGCTTACTAGCAAATCTCTTCTTCTCGCACAGTTGGTCAGCAAAATCGCAACACAGTGTAAGCTAGAAAAGTTGAATTAATAGTTTTATGCTGCTCCTCTTCCGATCTAATAAAATTTTGGTATAATATTAACTGTATTATATTATTAACGGTAACTTAAACTGTAACTGTAACTTGTAAACGAAACTATATTCTTTTTTCCTTTATCAGGAGCAGGTTGCTTATACTACTGGTTAGTAATGGGCCTGGACGTTCAAAGGAACGCTATCCAACGAAAAAAACCGCTACTACTGGAGAATGCTACCAAACAAATTGCGCTGGATAGGCATTCATCCCGTTTGAACTACCAGGGCCTTTTATACTAACATCGATATCAGGTACACAAATTATAAATGAAAAGGAGTCAACTGCTCATTTTGGGTGCCAGTACAAAAAGAATAAATTTTCAATAGGTAGCGCAAAGAACATGCCAGCTTGCAAATAACTGTTTTCGTCATCATTCCCAAGGACAACAGATGCAGGGACATCTTTTCCAGTATATTGTAGTTGCATGCACATACTTCCTTGGGGGATTGACTTGCCGTGTAGCACTTTTCTTTCTGGCATGGCAAAACCAATTGCTTTTACTATTTTGTTTTCCACATACGCCAACATTCTTGACGCGGTGGACGCAGATTGTGTGGAAGAAAGTGATGAATTAAAAGAAGGAAGGGGTGAATTGGGAATGGGACGGGATGAAGTGGGGGTAAAGTTGGATAGAGTAGGAGAAGGAAGGGATGAAGTCGGAGTAGGAAGGGATGAAATGGAAGCAGGAAGGGTTGAAGTGGGAGTAGGGGGGGTTGAAGTAGGAGTATGAAGGGATGAAGTGGAAGCAGGAAGGGTTGAAATGGGAGTAGGCAGGGTTGAATTGGGAATTAGAAGGGATGAAGTGGAAGCAGGAAGGGTTGAAGTGGAAGCAGGAAGGGTTGAAGTGGGAGAAGAAAGGGTTGAAGTGGGAGTGGTAGTGTAGTCAGTAACAGGTGTTTCATCTCCATCTTTATCTTCTTCACTGGCCTGACGTTCATCTGTCAACGAAAGAGAAAATAACATCAAAACAAATTATTTCTGCAGGTAAATGTTTTCCAGATTTTTGCCATAGTTACCTTTATAGCTACCATACTTACCTTGTGATCTCGTAGTACAATGTAACTATCAAGGGCTTTACGCTCTCGATTTAAACGTAATGGTGAAAAATGGTAATAAAAAATAACAATTTTGATAGGTTGCTTTAAAATAGTTGCGAACTTTTAGCCTGAATGTAACACCCTGTTTAGACGTTACAAGTTACAGTTACAGTTACAGTTTAATAAATTTCAGTTAGCACCCAGGTTATCCTAGACAGGGCCGTAGCCAATGCCAAAGACCAGGCCTCTTAAATATTGTTAATGATGATACCGTTTTATGTTGAAGAGTCAGCAGACCCTGACAGGATTCGAAGACATGACCTCCCACTTACTGGTCAGATGCTCAAACCGACTACATGTAAGTGTCAGAGACTCTTGGTGAGCTAGGCCATTATAGACCATTTTACATATCTTCACTGAGCTGCAAAATTTACTATCTATTTACTATAGGGTAAAGTCCATGGACTGGGGGTCAATGTTAAGTCCATCATGAGCTTGCTTGTGGTTGTAATGGGTCAGATCAAGAGAGGAGGCTCCAAAACATGAGTGATTGTATGAAAGCTACAACCTTGGACAAAACCAGTTGAGACAAATGGATATCACACATTTTTTGCATATGTAATAACTTACCAGCAGGTAAAGAATATTCATTCCCCCCTCCCCCCTGTTCAATGTTGTTTCATGGGGTTTGCAATTCATCCAACTTTGTTTTGACAACATACCAACATTGACAACATTGAACTGGGGGGAGTGGGTGGAAAAGAATAGATTTGGTATCCTAAAAAAGTTGTTATTTGGTAAAATGTCACAACATTTTTGTCCAAGATTGTAGAGCAACTAAAAAAATTCCGATTCTCACTCTCCGTCAAGAATTTTGAACATAATGAATATCATGAATATCATTTGAATATCATGTTCCTTCTTCAGTTTTCTTTTTCATTTATTAATAAATTACCATTGTATATAATTAATTCTTAATGGGCTAGCCTGCCTCGATTAGTATTGGCTAACTGCAGGCCAGTCCAAATCTGATTGTAATTATCTTAAATAATTATTATAATGAAAGTAATATTTGAAAATTCTTTCAAATTACACTCGGCTGAATTCCAGTGTAATTTAGTGTCAATGCCTAATTGGACTTGCATTCATATGATTGTAGCCTATTCCAATTCAGTGAAAAAAATAGAACCAATGAAATAATAAAACTTGAGCAGGGGGCTACAAATTCATCTTCATAACCAGGAGATTTCTGTCAGCTGCTGGCTTCTACTGAAAACCCTTTTGTTGTTTCTTCATTTCTACCAACTAATGGAATTAAATCTACACCTAATGTTACATGCAGTGTTACAAAAAAACTTACTATCAGCAAATTTTGCAAATAGATTCCAAGCCGCTCTCCCTGCCTCAGATACATTGTCTTTCTCCTTGCCAATAAATTTAGCACCAATGCCAGGGGTGCCATACCCCTGGACTGTGTCCCCCCTGGCATGTTTATGTGAATATAGGATAGAAACATCCCATCTGTGTTTAACATGAAGAATATTGGCCTGCAAAAAAATAAATAAATAAAAAAAAATAAATTAATGGAAAAAAGTTTAAAATATAAATGTATAGTCAAAATGAGAGCTTGGGCAAAATATTTACAAACATTATTAACTAAATGATACCCTCACTGATTGACAATACATCCAATGTCTTTAGGGTACTTTTACAGTCAAAATGCCTGAAGCATTAAATATTTGAATAGACGCAACGGTTGGATGAATAAAATATTCAACTGACTTTTTTTAAAATTTGAAGACAAGAATCGAAGTGGCTCTGGAATAAGGAACGCATAAGTCATTTTTTAGGCGGAACACTTCAGGTGTTTGACTGTAATGTCATTTGTAAGTACCTAGCTAAGAGTTCTGAAACAATTAAAGAAGGATCAAAGTACTTTAACTATAAAGACATAACAATAAATACATTTATTGTTGTTAGTTATAATGGTGGCAATGAATGTTCTTTTTTAATTTACACACATACATACAAGCATGCATGGCATGCATGCATATATGCATACTTTATTCTCCCCACAAGAGCTTTTCAGAATAAAGAATAAACAATTATTGAAAATTATCACTTGCAATGATAACAGTAAGCAAACTTGTCAAAAATATGTTTTAATTAATTTTTAATAGAATCACTTGACTAGATATCGACATATATTTAACGGTTATCCCGCGAAATTGTGCAGAATATTGCCAGATACTTAGGCAACGAGGCCGCAGACCGAGTCGGTTAAAATCAGGTGATACTCCGCAAGATTGAGCAGGATAATTGTTTTATTATTCAACAAATTGTCAACAAAACGCATTTTACACTTAGGAAAAGTGTGGTTAGACAGAAAATTGTAAGATTTCGGACGAAACTTGACGAACCTACATGTATCACAGGATATCTGTTATGTACGGATGACAGAAATCGAACAAGCACTGACCATATATGGGCATCACGCGAATTTGTTGAATAATAAATATATATCTAGTCTGTAGCATGCTATTACTACTTCCTCTACATGGGATGTAAGTGCTTTACAGGTTCATGTCATTTTTCCTAATAGTTCCTGTTACACATTAAAACGTGGCCAGGATTGAATGCTGAGGTGCATAAGTTACTATTTATGAATTCTTAATATAGGTTAAAATAGATTTCAGGTCAAAATGATTTGAAACTAGTTTATTGTTTGCTTTGTTCCAGATTTATTACAGTAATCCTGAAACATTGAAAATACAGTTCTAACAAGTTTGGAAACCATTTTGACCTGAAATCCATTTCAAACTACTTTCACTACACAATTTTTAAACAAATGAATGGCTTGGTGCAAGACTAACGTACCCGGCCTAAATGCTTGAATTAGCGCCCTGGGTGCTTATTTAATTTTCTTAGGAGAGAGTCAGGGGCACTAATTCGAAGGGGGCGCTTACTTCGTTTACCAATTTTTGGCCTTAAAATGACACTATCCTTATTTCTAGTAACCCAAACTGTACCAAATAAAAATTAAAAATCCGTTATAGAAAATTACTTTTCTGAATCTTGAAACGTTCTCAAGACGTTTTTGAGTTGCCGTCAAAAGAAGCTGGCATTTGGGAGCAAAGTTTTACTACAGCTCCCGTGGATATTTCTATCGAGGAAATGAGGAGCAAACCCGTTCGACTTTAAAGAACAGTAATTGTGAACTATTACGAATGTCACATTCATTAAAAGTACTGTACATGTCTCGTATATTGTCCCGATTTTCTCTCAGGGGAGGGAGGGGGAGCTTATTTGAAGGGGTATACTTATTCCAAATTTTAAGCCATAGGAGGGGCACTAATTCGAAGCGGGGCGCTTATTTGAAGCTGGGTGCTAATTCAAGCATTTACGGTAAGTGAATGATTCTCACTATGATTTCAAGAAAAGAGTGAAGGGAAATAATTATATTTCATAATGTTTTCACAGCAGTGGAGATAAGAACACAAGAGCCAGGGTCCGAAACCCAGAAACTGTTTTTTTTTCTTTTTTCAGGTAAACTTCTTTTTATGATTCCTGTTTCATTTTCTCGAAAACAAACTGCAAACCAGCATATTAAAGGCACTTAAGAGGAAAATTTTTTCCTAGCCAAAATAGACACTTGCATTAGTCTAGCTTGCACCACACCATTCAAATATTCATCATTACCTATATTAATAATGTACTCAAGTTAGCAATAAAATTAAAAACATTGTTTATACGGAATTTTACTTGCCCTTTTCTCAAGGAGCTCTCTTTGGCGTGTTGGGTTGGTCTGTCCCATACTTTTTATTTTTTCCCAGTCAAATGATTTTTCTGGAAACTCGGCTCCACAGCCCTCCATCTTGCATCTCTTACTGGCAGAAGGGCTGGGTTGGTTGCAACTTTTACATATCTACGATAGTTCAACCAAAATGCATCACTGAACAAGCAATCAATCAAGCAATAAACCAACAAGTCCACACAGTTTATAAGTTACATTGATAACGGTAATGATATATAAATTTAGGACAAGGATACACCCACACACACACACGCACACGCACACGCACACGCACACGCACACGCACACGCACACGCACACACACACACACACACAAGCAACTGTTCAGTTGGGAATTTATGTTGGAGCAAGAAACATAAATATTTGACAATAAAAAGAATATAGTCAGGGTTGATCACATAAAAAATTAAAAATGAAAATGAATATTCACATTTCAATAGTTTTATAATTGTAAATGGCTAGTTGATACATTTTTAAGTGAACAAAGTTAAGCAAATAAAAATTGTTTTCTTTATTCTCATTATAACAATAACAATGATAATGATAATAAAAACAATAATAATAATAATAATTATAATAGTAATAACAAAATAATGTACCTTATATGGTGAAATAATATACCTTCCTTCCTCTCTTCTTAGGTAATATGCCTACTTGCCCCTGGCTTAGACTTTCTGGGTTAGAATCTGAAGAACAATATAAATTCATATTTTGAACGAGTTCCTTGAGCTCCTTGACGCTACGTGTTTAAATAAAGTATTGTATTGTATTGTATTGTATTGTATTGTATAAATTAAGATCAATGAATCAGACTGTTTAATTCTGTTATAAAAAAAAAATCTGCACAAAAAGGCTTTCCAGTCTTATATCATTATGATATTTACAATGAAATATTTTTCATTCACTCACATATCCAATTCTTAAAAACTGGGGGTCACCCAATTTATAATTTACTCTAAGTTATCCCTGGCTGGAATGCTTCTCTTGGACATTATTACATGATATTACAATGACTTTGTAATGTTTTAAGGAAGAAATTTTTGCTCATCTTTAAATGAGTGAACCAATTCCAAATAATTCAATTTCAATTCTATCCAATGGGGAAAGGTGCAATGAGGTTATCCCTATGTGAAGCACCAACTCAAGGAACAAGGCCAGCTCACAACACTGGAAACTCTGTGCCCTACTTTTAGGGCAAGTGTGTGGGTTCTATATAACGCTAAAGATGCAAGAGATGGGGCCTATGGTTTATTATCCTTATCGCGAAGGCTTGAATGTCTTAATCATTTACACATATCATTGAAAATTAAGGCAGCACTGCATTCTCCTCAGTTATTTTAAGACCATTAGTGTTGGTGTGGTCTGGGCTCAAACCCCAGACCTCAAACACGGCAGTCTCAAAATCTCCAACTGAGCTAACCAGGCAGTGGTTATCCTACTAACAAGATTAATAAGGCACATACAACAACTATTAGAGTTAAGCACATTCTGGTTCTGCTATTTCTACTTTCATTCGATTATTTTTTAATCGTCACTTCAAGTAGTTAATTTAGTTGGCAACACTTTTGTTAAGTTTTCTCATAATTTTTTCCACATATCATCTGATGTAAACCAAAGATAATGACAGATGAGCGAATAGCATAAAGGTCAATACTGGGTCTTTAAATCTACTGGGTTATTATATGGTCTTATATCAGTATTTTTTAATATATCTTCAGCTAAAACCTTTTATAACTGGTGCATAGAAAATAATTTATGCATACTTCAAAAACAAAGAGAAAACAAAGAGGATTTAATCCTCATATTTTACAAAAAAACTTAAAACAAAAATTATAATAAAACTTCACTTAAAAAGTATTAAGTCTGTGTTTGAGCCTAGGCAGGTGCTTAACTCTGTGGGCTTTTGTAGCATTAAATGACTCCCACCTAGATGGGATGCTTGTCCATGACAGGGCTATATATCCCCATCATGATCAGTTAATTCACTGGACCTACATGATTGTATATATACACTGGGGTGGAGAGAGTAAAGTACCTTGCCCGAGACCACAATATAATTACCCATGTCAGGCCTCAAACCGGGAACAATTCATAAGGAGTTGAGCAAGTTATAAACCTTATGGAAATGGCATTTTTACATTGCATCACCTTAAAGACATGAAAAGAAATAACATGAGACTATTTAACCAATTTAAAGCACTATTGCATTATAATCCTATAACTTGGGTTTTCAAATTAACTTTGTGGAAGTGATTGGATCCTACTGTCCAGGACTGTCTAGCTGATCTAGCTGATCCTTTAATCGCTTGGATAAAACACCCAGCCTTCACGGATTTACTGGTGATTTGGCATGATCCTATAGTGACTAAAAATTTGTCCCGAAAGAAAAGGAATAAGCCTATGTAAGCTTATCTCACAGAAATACATGGAAGGTATAACTACACTTATGATTAATAAAATCGCCAAAAGAGACATCTTTACAAATATTCGAGTAGATGTGACAAGTGAGAAGTTTTAGACATATGAGCTGCACGGAATACCGATTTTTAAAAACGAATTTTAATTTAAATTCATTTTAATTTTAATTTTAAAGCTAAAAATTCAAATCTATTTGGTACGCCGCGCTGCTATAAAGCAGAAGGAGAAGGCGACAGGGTATCAAACCACATGCGAAGAATATATTACAGGGTATGTTATCGCCGAAAACTAGAATGTTATAAGCACAGAAATACTGAGTCAGAGACAGAAGTCTTCTTACCTGTATGTTCCTAACTCATGGTTGAATGGATTTAAATAAAAAGAACCACAGAATAAGCCAACCCGGGAAAATCTAGCTCACGTCGCTCGCAGCACCACGAGAAAACCAATGATCATATCCGCGTTCCATTTGGCCAGCAGCTTATTTGGCACATTTTATTATCGATTATGGTTAATTCAAGACGATTTGACAATTACCTCTATGCGTTAATTCTAGGGGGATACTGTGTTGCACCTTCAGCCTCACTCCAAATCAAAGGCTTGGCAACTAAGTACACAACTCTAAAGGTCAGCATTAGATTCCATCCACCAAAACCACCTTGGTCGAGAGGGACTGAGATGGAATGATGGACAACTCATTACGAAGCTACGACAACATGCCGACTTATCCCGATGACCTAAGTGTATTATTTGTTTGGGAAATTGTGTCAAAACTTTCTTAGTCAAGAAATGGTAAGTATTAATTTATTGTTCGATTGTAGTATTATAAAACATTTTACGCAATTTTATGCAGATATTTCACGTATTTAAAAGGTGCCCAGATGTTACGTAGTTTTGGTGGATGTCATCAGGGAACATCCACCAAAACTTTGACCAAAACCATCAACAATATATTTTTTTAATTTTATCTATAGCCACTGTTAGATGTTCAGGGAGACAAAAGATTTATACCAATAATTAGCAGTTAGTGCTCTGGCTAATCATTTTTTATGATGCACAATTGCTGACCGACCAAACGTTCATAATGATTATCATAACTCGTAACACATAGAATAAAGTGGTTTTGGTGGATGTTTCTCTCCATCCACCAAAACCACCATAGCAATTTCTGCTACTTCCTTACAGAAGACTGATGTGACCTGCTATTTGGAGTACATAACCACAATCTATTTCTTTGTATGCAGAGATATTTTGCAAAGTTCTTGAGTCAGCACCTTTTATTATTGAAACCATAATCATAACATGGTGCACAATATAGAATACAAAAGGTTCTGGTGTGGCAATCATGTAATCTTGAAACAGGAGAGTTTTTAACTGACTTAAACTAACTTAAACAGACATTTGCAACAAAATTCCAGGTCCAGAAATTTCTTCCACTATTTCTGCTAAAATCATAACCTTAAAGTACAACAAATCAGCACATCAGTAATTGTTATCAGGGGTCTGAAAATCCTATAAATCTTTCACATTTATTTCAAGTAAACTTTAATTTCACATGGATGAATAAGTATACACTCAAGATGCAGAATGTCTTACATTTTACAAATTATTTCCCTTTTTATGGATAGACAGTGAAAGGCCTTTGCCACATTGGTGAATCAAACCATTGTATACCATGCATTTTGTGATAATTGTTTGTTTTTGCTCGCAATATCCAGAAAAATGGAGGGGATAAATTTAAATAGCAAATTCTATTAATGGTTAAAATTAAATAACATTGGAAGATCAAATTAACTTTGTACTGTTTAAAATTCAGTTTTGGTTTCTTGCTTATTCCAGCCTCTTAATATTCAAAAGCATTCCTTGTCATTTTTGTGTTCTTCTGTGTAACATAACTTGAAAAATAAACACAGAGAAAGGAAACCACAAAGGATTAAACTTGAAGCTAAAGCAAAGTTTAAGTTGAGCCATAGCTGATCCAAATACTGAGCACTTAATATTGTAACCCATTTAGCAGTAAAGTTTATCTATATGTCTGCCAGCTTGTCACAAGTCTTACCCCTCTCCTTCAAAAGTCTCTATAAATAAATTTTTCTTTGTAGTCCCTAATTTATTGATGATAAGTATATTACAGCTCCTCAATTTCCCTCACTTAAGACAAGGTTACTCTAAATTTAACAAAGTAATGGACTTGATAAAACTCAAACTATAACTCAGCTGGCTGCTACTTGCAACCTTAATTTCTTGATATCAGTATACAATAATCAATATGTTATAAATAAGAACCCTAATGCTTAATTTTGGAGTGATCACCTTCCTCCTTTTCATTTGCAGACCAGACTGGAACCTCCATAGGTGTGTATGCTTGTTTTGAGTGGGGATGGAAGAAAAGGGGTCATGCCGCATATCTGATTTATTAAACCGGATTTGTTCTGTTTATACATGAGTAGAACTACCTTGTTCTCTGAAAAAAATAAAATTTCTCACATTTTTATCTGTGCTTTGCAGTCAAACTTCCTTGTGTCTTGGACAAGAAATCTTATTTTCTTGAAAACAAAATCTTTTTTTCCGGCCTTCTGTAATAGGTAAATATAACAGTGTAAGATGAGCGACAGTGTATTTCTCAAGTCATTTTTTGGAATGTGACAAAACGGAAGTGTATATGCAGAATTGCATATATTTTCTCCTTTGTCAGCAGCATATGTTAGTGAAAAGTTCTTATAATTGTTAACTTCTAAACCATCTTCAATTTAGCCAAGATTGAACTGTTATCACGTTTGTCATAAAAGTATTCTGAGATCAATGTCATATGACCCATTCATGTATTTGACCTTTCGAATTAGCAAGCCATAGTTGACAGTAACACAAAGGTTGAGGATAAAAAGAAATTATTATATACAGTACTTCTTCTGCATCTTTTCACTTCCTTTTCTCTCCAGCTGTTCTATCTATGCCGTACTGGCAATTGAACACTTTCCTTCCAAAAATCAGGAAAGGCACACCAGTAAAAAACGAATTTTTGCTCCTTAATTATCTCATGCATCTTCCCCGAGTATTTTGTGACTTCTGTCCGAGGAAGGAGGTGTAAGCATTAAGTTAACCCGAATGATTCCACAATTGTGGTATCATCCAAGCCATGCCAGAGGACTTGAACTAGATAAACTAGTGAGAATGCACAATAGCGATAGCAAAGCTTTGTAATGCCAAAGAGCTATATCAATATATATATATATATATATACACACCGGTGTTCCCGAAACCTTT